TAGAGACTTTCCATCTTAAGACATCTTGAAGAGCTTGAGATCCACTAACAATAATTTTTATTATAGGAGAACTTTGTGCTTGAAGTTGAATGTTCCAAGGTATATAACCATACTTGGCAGCTAGAATTCTGTAAAGAATAGATGAATCTCCTGAAATGAGTTTCCAAGCGAACTTTGCTCTTAAAGGACTAACTTTAGAAATCATAGATTGGATGCCTTGTCCTCCCATATTAAGTGGCTTGCATAGAACCTCCCAAGAAATATAGTGGAGACCTTTGCTACCATCCTGTTTATTCCAAAGAAAATCTCTACACATTTTATCAAGTTCTTTAAGTAAACCCAAAGGAACTAAAGAGTGAGTAATATGGTAGATTGGAAAGGAGGTAAGAATTGATTTGACTAGAATAATCTTCCCTGCCAAAGAAATGTATTTGTTACCCCAAACATTCATATACTCATTAGCTTTGTTTAAAAGATGGGAGAAATCCATCCTAGATGTCCTTCTTAACATAATATTGATCCCAAGATATTTCAGCTCTTGCACCACTTTGAATTTAAGGATTTTAGACAATCTTTTCTTCCTTCTTCTCTTAACCGACTTACCAAAAAGAATGGAAGATTTTTGGATATTGATTCTTTGTCCAGTCCAGTTACAGTACAACAACAACATCAAGTCTTTATCCCACTACGTGGGGTCGGCTACATGAATCCTTTTTCTCCATTGTGTCCTATTAAAAGTCAAATTCTCGTTTAAATCTAATAAAGAAAGGTCATTCCTAATATTTTCTAAGTTAAATCTACATGAATCCTTTTTCTCCAGTTACAGTAAAGATTCAAAATTTCCTTTACTTTCTTCACACTACTCCCATTAGCTTTCAAGAAGAAAACTATGTCATCAGCATATAAAAGGTGAGAAATTTTCTCAACATTAGGAGCTATCTTAATTCCCAATTCTTTACCATTTTGCTTAACCCCATCTAAGAGAAGTTGTGAGCATAAAATGAAGAGAAAAGGAGATAGAGGACATCCTTGCCTAGACCCCCTTTTGGCTTCAATCCAATCCGAATTTTTTCCATTAATAATAATAGAAATTTAGTATTTGAAACACATTGGATGAGGAAGTTAGTAAACTTATATGGGAATCCCAAATTCTTCAAGACCTGAGTGAGAGTTGACAAACTCATACTATCATAAGCTTGTTCCATGCCAATTTTAATAGCCATTAGCCCTTTTTTAGTTTTGGAGAATCTAAATTTGTTGCAAACTTCTTGAGCTAACAGAATGTGTTCAGAGCTAGATCTGCCTTTGATAAAAGCTGCTTGATCTTCTGAAATGAGTTTTGGAATAATAACTAACATTCTATTTAATAACATCTTGGCTATCAACTTGTAAATTGAAAGGCACAGACTAATAGGTCTGAAATTAGAAGGTAGGATCGGATTTTCTGTTTTTGGGATTAATACTATCAAGTTCTCCTTCCAACTAGGACACATGTTTCCTAGTTCAAGAAAAGAGAGAATAGCCTTCCATACATCATTGCTAATGATGGACCAAAAGGTTTTAATGAATGAATAAGAAATCCCATCTATACCAGGAGAAATATTTGCTTCTAGATGTTTAACCACCTCATCAAGCTCTTCTTTTTTAAAATCTTTCAGGAGAAATTCTTTGTCTAATTCATTCAGCACATTGAGTGGATTCGGCCAACCAGAAAGATAGCAATCTTTTTCTTTCCATTTGCTTTTGAAAAAGCTGATAAAGATATCTTCAATTTCTGATTGATCAGATGTAATTCCTCCATTAGCTCCTTTGATTTGATGAATCCAGTTAGAACTCCTTCCCGTCGCATAGGTGTGAAAAAATTTGGTGTTTGAATCACCGTCTCTCAACCATTTCGTTTTTGCTCTCTGCTTCCACCAGGTGTTCAAACGAGATAATGTTATATTTAATGAGAGAACTTTGGATCTCAGCTATTGTAATTTGTCTTCAGTCAATCCCCCTGCTTCTGCTTCTTCTAATTGCAGTTCTGAAATATCTTTTTTCAGCCTTTCTTTCAATTCGAACAGATCTTGATGTTTTTTTTTACTCTAGTAGTATAGAGCTTTCAACGCTCTATTAAACTTTTTTATTTAAAGTAGAAGATGGATCACCAACCATATTTTTCTTCCAAGAGTTTTTAACAATACCTGTAGAAGCGGCATAAGAGGACCAAACTTCTTCATACTTGATAAACCTTTTTCTTCGAACAGCAGGATTAAACAAGATTACAAGAATGGGGCAGTGATCAGACGCTATTCTAGGAAGATGTTTAATCACTGGATTTATAATAGAATGCAAAGCAGCCGAATTCAAGAAGCATTTAGAATTTTTGCATGATCCTAGCTCCCCCTGTTTTGTTGTTACACCAAGTGTACCTTGGACCAATAAATTTTAGTTCATGAAGATCACATGAACTAATGAAATTGTTGAAGTCTTGAACTCCTTGAGTGTATTTGAATCTTTTCCCTCCTAGCTTGTCCTTCTGAGATAGAATGCAGTTGAAATCACCTCCAATGATTATTGGAAAATCTGAATTGGAAATGCCTTCAAGCGTGTTCCATAAGTTCTTTCTCTTGTATAAATCATTGTTTCCATATACAGAAGCAATAATCCATTTTCCTTTGTTAGCAATGAACAATTCCCCAATAATTGCTTGAGAAGAAGCCACCAAGATGGAAAAAGTGGCAAGATCCTTCCTCCAACAAACCATGAGTCCACCTGAAATACCTTCAGCCAGAAAACAGTAAAAGTCCCAAAGCCTCCCTATAAACTTGTCACATTCTTTTCTATCAAAAAAGGATATCTTAGTTTCAGATAATCCTACAAAGATCAAAGCGTAATCATTAATGCATTCCTTCAAATAGTGGGAGGCTTCTTTCTTCCTTGCCCCCCTACAATTCGAAAACATTATGGAAGTCATGATTGATAAGAAATGGGATTGCTCCCTTTCCTACCTTTAGTAGATCCTCCTCCTTTTCTACCATGAGAGATAATGTTATCCTTTCCCAAGGATTTCAGTTCCTTCTGAAGTTTGAAGTTAGATTTTTGAAAGAGTATGCTTGAGTTCGCAAGTAATCCCTCAGGATTTACAAGAGTTCGCAAGCAACCCACCCCCTTGATATCTTCTGAATGAGAATTCGTCTTTTCCATAAAATCAGCCTCAATGTTGCTCCTAATATTAACATTTTATCTTTACAATCAATGTTAATTTCTTTCCCCTCTACAGCTGCAGTAGGAATGTTTTTTATTGGTTCTAACAAGGATTTAGAAGCACCTTTATCCAATGAGTTATCAATGCTTTTTGAACCTTCTACAGTAGAATTCAGAACGTCTTCTTCTAAAGCACTGAAACAACAACAACAACATTAAGCCATAGGAGGAGGTTATAACCATACAACAACAACAGCAGCATTAAGCCTTTGTCCAACTACGTGGGATCGGCTAAATGAATCCTTTTTCATCATTGTGTCCGGTTAAAGTCAAATTCTCATTTAAATCTAATAAAGAAAGTTCATTTCTAATATTTTCTAACCAGTCTTTTTAGGTTTAGCTCTACCTTTCTTAACATAAGTCAAATCTAATACCTCAACTTTCCTTACCGGAATATTGGATTCATTTAATGTGAGCAAAGCATCTAAGGCGACTCTTTTTAATCTTATCTTCCACTGGTGCTACTCCAACCTTTTCACGTATATGCTCATTTCGTATCCTATCTCTAAGGGTCAAGTCACTCATCCACCTAAGCATCTTCATCTCTGCAACACTTAACTTAGTATTATGCTTCTCTTTTAATGGCCAACATTCAGCACCATAAAGCTTTGCAGGTCTCACCACCATCTTATAGAATTTTCCCTTAAGTCTGAGGGGGACTTTTCTATTGCACAATAAGCCCGATGCATTCCTCCACTTCAATCATCCAACTTGAATTCTGCTAATAATATCTCCATCAATTTCACCATCACTCTAAACAATAGATCCAAGTTATATAAAACGTGTACTCCTATTAATGACTTGATCGCCCAAAGTCACAATCCCCTCACTAGGTCTATTGCTACTGAAATTACACTCCATCTATTCAGTTTTAGATCTACTCAAGCGAAAACCTTTAGACTCTAATGTTGACCTCCATAATTCAAGTTTACCTTCAACTCCCTCTCCAGTCTTATCAACAAGAAGAATTTCATTAGCAAAGTGCATACACCAAGGTACATCCTCTTGCAAATGTCTAGTGAGAACATCCATTACTAAAGCAAAAAAGATATGGATTTAAGGTTGATCCTTGATGTAATCCAACCGAAATAGGAAAATACTTAGTCAAACCACCTTGTGTAATAGCTCTTACATACATATCTTTAATGATTTGAATATAAGCATTATTAACTCCTTTCTTTTCATGAACTCTCCATAGCTCTTCTCTTAGAACTTTATCATATGCTTTCTCTAAATCAATAAATATCATATGTAGATCCTCCTTATTCTCTCTATATTTCTCCATCAAACTTCTCAATATATGTATGGCTTCCATAGTAGACCTTCCCAGCATGAATCCAAATTGATTTTGAGAAACATTAGTATCACGCCACAACCTACGCTCCATAACTTGCTCCCATAGTTTTACTATATCCATTTTTATAAGTGATAAGATGTTCATCTCTTTTCTTAAATATGGTATTAGCTATTAATAAATCATAAGCTAAAGAAAAATCTAATATAGTTTTACCACCTTTATTTGTCGTTCCAAACCCATGGCCACTATGTATGCTTTTAAAATCATCTCTCTCTCTACCAACATGTCCATTTAAATCTCTTCCAATAAAAACAATCTTAGCATCAAGAACAATCTTTAAAGCTATAATTCTTTCTCAAATTCTGTTAATTTTTATAACATTATCCTTCAAACTTTTATCTATAATCACATCTACACCATTTCTAGTACGACTCCTACCCGAATATCATAGTTTATATCCTAAACCATTAGGGTTTGTTTGGGACGATGTCACTGCTGCTTTACTTTATAAAAAGTTATTGGATAATTGTTTGGGGCATTGCGGCAGAACTTGGCTAGAAAAAATTTGCGGCTCATATCTGCTTCCTGCGACCTTTCACTATCTCCTGCAGTCGACTGCGTTCCGCAGTTTCGATGGGCAAAAATGACGTAAATCCCCACTTGAAAATATTCGCCACCTTCGTCCCATCCGTCGATGCCTTTCGCACAAGTAGTCTCTTCTCCTGCTCTCCACCACCTCCTTCGGCAACTTTCTCCCTTGAAAGCTTAATCTCTTTTGACGAGTCCCACACCCCCTCTTCCTCCTTCGATGACTCTAACTCCTCCATCCATTAACCTAGGGTTTGCCCATATTAATTCGCCGCCGCCACCGCCGATGACAACAACGCAGAAGATATCGCCCGGAGATGGAGATGTCCGGCTGGTGGCAAAGCTTTGTGCCGTTTAAAGTGAGTGAAATTGATAGGAGCACGAAAATGGTTTTTGGAACAAGCCTTTTTGTGGGAGGAGAGGAACAGGAAGGGAAAAGGTTCGAGCTTTGAAGAGCAAAATGGAGGATGAGGCGATTGGGGTGAAATATCGCTGTTGCTTATAGGTAAAAAGAAGCATGCTCTGCTCGAGTAGTATTTCAGCATGTTTCCTATAGTTTTTATAATAAATATTAAAACTCATGTAGACCATTTGAGTGCAAAATGTAATGAATATTTTTTGACATGAAGCATATGCAAACTAGAGCAAATATTAGAACAGTGAAAACAAGATGCAATTATTTAGCTTTTGAGCTAAGCTAGAAGAGAATTGATCTGTAACTCAATACTTGCAGGTGTTGGGAGACATTTATGGTGATATCGGTGGCTTACTCTTCATGGGTTTACCCCTTTGAGGTTGCCTTTATGAAAGCAGTTGCAAAAGGTGGTCTTTGCATTGCTGATACCATCGTGGATCTCTTCTTCGCAATCAACATAGACATTCTTTGTGATTATTACATGACTCGAGAACTTAGATGCTTATTCGTGATCCTAAAAAAATTGCTATCAGGTTTTATCTTATTAAAGCAAACTGGTAGCTTAAATTTTTTTCTCATTTATTTTACAAATCATTACTCGTTTCAAAGCGTTAGCAGTGGACACCTTCAAGAATCAAAACCTTTAAATCTCCAAACAAATACTGTATTATGCTAATTAAGGCTTCGTTCTTTACTGTTTTCTACAAGATCATAAAGAAAAGCTTATTTATTTAACAGCTGATGCAGAGACCACCCTTGAGGAGCTTGATACAAACAGAATTTATATCATGGGTGAGCTTGTTGATCGGAACAGATGGAAAGGCATTACGATGAAGAAAGGAAATGAACAAGGGATCCAATCAGCAAAGCTGCCAATTGGAAACTATATCAAGTTAGCAAGCTCGCAGGTCTTTTTTCATCAACTGAAGTAAATCTTTATTCGCCTTTCAAAGTTCTCATCCTTTTATTATAGATGAAAATAAGCCACCTTCTACCTTTGCTAACTACATGCAATGACTGATACAATTCAAATTTTTATTTGCTTCTTCTTTGTCTACAAAATTTTTGAGTAAGAAGTATATTAGATAGTTTAGCAATGTAATTTAATTCAGCATATAAACGTTTAGAATAGAATTAAGTTTGCACAAATCAAGAATCTGTGGACAAGTTTGATTGAGTCAAAGTCCACATTAAATATATTTATTTTCTCTACAACAAGGAACATCCATAATGATGTTTAGAGAAATTATTTTTTTTCTCTGCGTGGGATTAACAGTCCTCGCCCTTGTTTGTTCGTAAATCATTTTCTTCCTTTGTTATTGAATCTTGGCGTTCTTCCAAGAGGGAGTTTTGGTTGTCCTTTGGTTGGTGAGACCTTGAGATTTCTCTTCACACATGCTTCAAGATCTCTTGGTGACTTCTTTGAAGATCATATTTCGAAGTCATTACCTCATTTTTTTTTATTTCTTGAATAAGGTAATTTTTATTTTAGTAATATTCTACGCTTTTTTAGTGGCTTTCTGACAATCTTAAAAGCACAAGTACAAACAAATGAAAAGTACACACAAAGATTTCTCCTTGTTGCAATCTTTCTTTTGAATGATTAATTCAAATGAATGTGTTTGATTTTTCACTCTTGATCATGTATGGAAATGTATTCAAATCACATGTTTTCTGCTCACCAACTATTGTGCCATGTGACCTACTAGAGTTGAACCACTTTAAACTTCAGAATGAAGAGAAGCTCTTCCAATGCTATTATCCAATCTATGGTTCTTGAAGAACTTGCCAAGGGAGTTGACTGAAACAGCACACACAGTTTACTACAAGAGGGGTAATAGTGCACCCACCTATCCAGCTGTTTTTTTTTTTTTCATTACATTCTTAAACAATGGTTAGAAGCATGCAAGTTGAGATTCCCCTATGAATTCTTTGTGATTGTCATTACTATTTTATGTATTTGTAATTGTATTGTGATAGTATTTGTGGTAGAAGGATTTTGCAGTTGACATATTAGATGCCATTCTTTATTATCTCTTTATCTCTTACATGATACGAGGACTTTTAAGTTCATATAGTTATCATTATCTTCAATACTATGTTATTTATTTTTAGTATCCTCAAATTGAAGGCGCTAATACATGCCTCGTCTATGATGGCTCACATCATAAATTGATTACGACAATAAAGATACATCAATATAAACTTTTAAAACACATGAAGGAATTATTCAAAATCTCAAAATAACGAAATAACATACATTTAAAAATAGATATATTAGTTTTAATTATATAGACATAAAATAAATATTAGGACTTCATGAGATTAATTGAACACAATGTATCTATACATTTTTTCATATTAAAATTGTAATTTAGATAAATATAAATAATTTATTTCATGATATATAATTGCATATTTAATTACACATTAAATTTTAAAAATTTGTTGGAGTTCTATTTTCATTATTAGAAAATTGTATTTATTATGAAATAATAAAAAGTTATTATTAATTTTTAGTGTATTTTAAAGTATGATATTACATTGTAAAAAAAAATTATAGTACTTTGATATTTAAAAGTCATAAAATGGATACAATTTTAATGTAGAATTGCTAGTTTGTTATCATATAAATTTTAAAAAATATTTGATATTTTAGCAATTTATTTTCATCACAATATATGTAAGATTATAAACGTAATTTGTTCCCATACAGTTGCAGCACAGCAGCTCGACAGTTATACTTTACAAACAAAATATACTACTTTTTATATAGCAACTTCACAACTCGACTTTTTGTACATCAACTTAACAACCTGCTTTACCGACAGCTGCAGCCGTCCCAAATAAAGCCTTAATCTCCTTAGCTTTCTCTCTAACCCATTTAGTTTTCTAAGAATGCACATAATATTTATCATCCTATGAATCATAATATCTATTAATTCCATTAATTTTCCTATAAGGGAGCCTATATTCTGAGTTACTATCCTAATTTTAGTTTCATGGACTAGCTTCTTTGCCCACATCCGCCTTTGATGTGGGAACCCTTACCTATTTAACATTGCACCCGAGCACCGATGCAGCGGCCCTTGACATTGTATTCAAGCCATACAGCGCGTTGCTTCCAGGGGACGCCCTAGCATTAACATAAATTTTTAAAAAAGATTCATGTCATTATTATTCGACAAGTTTTATGCTGGCTTTCGACTACCTAATGCAACCCTCCAGGACTTGGGACCTGGCAACGGTAATGTTAGGAGGAGGTTATAACCATGACAAAATAAATATTATTCTTTATCAATTAGGAGACTACAACACCAAATAATTACTAAACTTTGCTACAAGAGGAAAAGAATTAAAACAAAATACACCAACAAAGCTGATTTGTGGCAGATGAACTAACTGCCATAAGAGAAGGGCCCAAATGGACCACATTAAAAATATCCATCTTGAAGCTGGGTGTAATTTGCAAAGTGATAGTATACATTCTTTCTTTTTTCTCTCTTGGTATATATTATTTGGAACTTTTAATCTACAATCTTTATAAGCTTTTTAGTCCTGCAAAGGCTAACATTAGATTCAATATAAAGAGTATGGATAATCCTTATCCCCAGGACCCCAGCTACATGAATGCCATTAGGAGCGAAAATACTTGGTGGATTTAGATTATGTGAGTAGATGTAGTGTCAATCATAATCGTTGGGCTAACAACCTAAGATATCACCTAGTTAGCCTAAGATATCACTGATTCTAGTTTTCAACTAAGATAAAATGTTGATTCAATTTTTTTTTTTAATAAACCATATCAAAAGCAATTAGAGCTGCCATCATTGCATTGGAAGAAATGTTTTTTATCAACTAAAATATCTCCACTATTGTGCTTTATAGGATTCTGCAGCTTTGGGTGATCCATGAAGCATTCTGAGTTATTTTGACTAAATATTTTGCAAGAAGAATTTTTAGGAGGAATGTCATCATACTCTAACTTGTGTGAGTAGCAAATAAATTTGGTGTTTATCCAAATTTCTTTTTCTTAAGGGGAAGTAAAATTCGACTCGACTAGCATCTTAATCATTGATTGCCTTGATAACCTAACAGTAGAAGCATCTAACTGAAGCAATTTACAAAGATTGTATTAATAGAGTGCAAAATAAATTACAACAACAACAACACTAACACCAAGCTTTTATCCAACTATGTGGGGTCAGCTACATGAATCCTTTTTCTCCATTGTGTCCTGCTAAAGTTAAATTATCATTTAAATATAATAAAGATATGTCATTTCTAATATTTTCTAACCAAATCTTTTTAGATCTACCTCTATATTTCTTAACATAAGTCTGATCTAATACATCTACTTTCCTAATCGGGTCATCGGAAGACTGTTGTTTTATGTGACCAAACTATATAAGGCGACTCTCTTAAATCTTATCTTCCATTGGAGATACTCCAACCTTTTCACGTATATGCTCATTTCGTATCCTGTCTTCGATAGTAAAGCCACTCATTCTCTCTACCAACCTGAGCATCCTCATCTCTTAACACAACTTAATATTATGCCTCTCTTTTAATGGCCAACATTCTGCACCATAAAGCAATACAAGTCTAACAACAATCTTATAAAATTTTCCCTTAAGTTTGAGAGGGACTTTTCTATCACACAACAAGCCCGATGCATTCCTCCACTTCAACAATCCAACTTGAATTCTGCTGATAATATCTCCATCAATTCACAATCACTTTGAACAATATATCCAAGATATCTAAAACGTGTACTCTTATTAATGACTTGATCGCCTAAAGTCACAATCCCTCCACTAGAACTATTATTACTAAAATTACATTTCATATATTCATTTTTAGATCTATCAAACAAAATCCTTTAGACTCTAAGGCTAACCTCCATAATTCAAATTTACTTTCAACTCCCGCTGTAGTCTTATCAACAAGAAGAATATCATCAGCAAAAATCATACAGTAGGGTACAACCACTTACAAATGTCTAGTGAGAACATCCTAAGTCTAAAGCAAAAAGATATGGGCTTACGACTGATCTTTGATGTAATCCAACTAAAATTGGAAAATACTTGGTCAAACCGCCTTGTGTCTGGACAAGTAACAACTCCAGCATACATATCCTAATGACTTGAATATAAGCATTATTAACCCTTTCTTTTCTAGAACTCTTCATAGCACTTCTCTGGGAACTTTATCATATGCTTTCTCTAAATCAGTAAATATCATATGTAGATCCTGTTTTTTCTGTCTATACTTCTCCATCAAATCTCTCAATAAATGTATAGCTTTAATAGTAGACCTACCCGACATGAATCCAAATTGATTTTGAGAGTGCAAAATAAATTGATATGAAAAAATAATACAAATTGGAGTGAAAGATGTAACACCCCAAGATACACCTTACCAGCAAAGTAGAGTGCCACAAAAATAAACATAACTTTCATTCTCAACATATGATACTTTTATATCATTTGAATAGTTGCATAAAACATCAACTAACAATAACATCTACTGAATGAACGGAAGCAGCTAATTTCAATTACATCACAACAGTACATACAGAGCCATTAAGAAAAATAATGTTTCATCACATTTAAACAACTTACATGCCTTATAAGAAGACATTACATACACTTCTAAATAGAAAATCTAAAGTTTCCCACACTTGCCTAATCGATCTCCACTTTCTCTTTGCCGTTTCCTGTAACAACAACCAGTAAACAATAACTAATTAGTTATGAGGCTCATAAAATTATGCAAATTAAATAACAGTTCAAATTAAATTACAAGTATACATGCCTAGAACTAACAACATTTGCCTTTTTAAAATTTAATTTGCATTACTTCTTTGAAGATTTGTCTCCTCAATGCCTCCACCTTGCACTCTTTTCCTTTTGTAAGTAACCTACACAAATCATTTCTAAATCTCTATAGTTTCTACAATTATCATTTAAATAAATTGTATAAAATCAATTTATACTAACATCACAATTTACCTTGTAACCTCCCCTTTGCTCCCCTCTGCATATACGCAAAGGATCCTACAATACATTTGGTTCACTCTCTTTGGAAACTTTTATTGAATTTAGGAAATCTAAAAGATCTCTCTTCTCTCACAGCAGTACTTGCTTCCATCACTCACATGCTTTTATCTAGATTCCACTCAGCCGAAGACAACTCTGTAGAGAACCAATTCCTTTCTCTACTCTCTCATAGCCGCAGGTTCTCACAGCCCTCTGCCTTCTGTATTCCGCCATTTACAAGTCACTTTAAAGCCAAATCACACCAACAATTTTCTTACACAGCACAGCCACTTATTTTCAGCAATTTCCCCATACCTCCGTCTCCTGTTTGCCTGAAATCAAACCGAATAAAGGAGAGCAATTCTCTCACACAGCACCGTTCTTTCAGGATTTTCACTTCTTCCTTCAGACAGCTACAGCCTTCACACCCATCCGACCCCTTCCTTTCTGCCTGCTTGCATGATATTAAACCGGAATAAACGAAAAGGGCCCACATACAACAACTGAATTCCAATATTCTCATTCAATGCAAGCAGCTATTCGGATTATATACAGTTAAGTAAATTTTATGTTAAGTAATATATATATATATATATATATATATATTATGTTAAGTAATATTACTTCTAATATTAAAACTCCTGATTTCAACATCTATTAAGGGTAATGGCAAAATCCAAGTATCCTTCTATTAACTTCATCAAAATCTTTACATAAAAAGTAACTGTTAATATTAGATATATTCACTCAAAAAACAATTCAATTTTTGTTTACCTGCATTTTAGATATTACAAAAGGAGATTAGGAACCTAACCATATAGTATTTATGCATTAGCTGTTACTGTTTTGTTTAGTGTATATTCACTCCGCAAAACAATCAAAAAGAGTGATCAAATTATTTAGTGTATGCATTAGGAACCTAATCATATAGTATGTTATCCAATAGAAAAGTTTTGAGTAATTATATTATTTAGATAACTTAATGAGAACATGACAAATAATCATTTAAGTCGAATGACATAATCCTAAACCAAATGCGGATCGAACATGAATCTCTAAACCATCTCTGTATTTGGAAAACTTACTAATAAGGCCGAGAGGAAAATAGAAGCGAATTCAGAGATCTCTTTGGATAATATGAGAGCTAGTTTATCTTTAAAAGATGATGAGAGTTATTGATACGTGGTTACAAGCCCTTGCTAAAGATGCTCGAGGAAATTACAGAATTCAGGGAGAATTGATTTAAGTATTGATATGAAAAATAATACTAATTGTAGTGAAAGGAGGTTCCGTGGAGCAACAATTGAATATCTGGTGCAAGCAGGTAGCGGCGAGATTATGAGTAGCATTAGGAAAGTTGCGAGTGCGGCAAACTAAATTCAAGAAAGTGAAAAGGAAAGGACTACCGACCACATAAAGGAGGGTGAATTTTAGCATATATAAATTTATTTTTCATAAATGAATAGCATTTTTGGCATGAGGGGGGGCTGGGGATTGCCAAGCTAGTAGGATGGATGACAAATAACTGGTGAACTAATAAAACCAGCTAAGACCTAATAACACGTGACCCAAATTACTTGGTGCAGACTCAATAACACATTAATAAAAAAATATATAAATCCTCATCTCACATGAAATTTGCGTCCAAATACTTGATGGAGGATCCTAGTTAGATCAATCTATGCTCAATGCCATGACTATGACAATGACGAGTATGATAGGTAGAATCATGAAGAAAATATTCTGTGCGGACACCGGACGGGAGAACCGCTTGGTACCGAGCGTACTGATGCTCGGTACTGCTCAGTATCGTGCTCGGTATCAAGCGCGGTACACTTTTGAGGTGATGTGGCACATTTTTATTGGTCTCTGGACGCTGTCCAGACTCCGCATGTAATATTTGCCAGAATCATAATGACCTGCATCACATGTTTATTTGCTTTATTTTAGTGTGCTTGCTTTTCAGAATCCTTATTCCTCCTGTGTTATTATACGCTATTTTTACCGTCTCTTCAATTTGTCAGATCTTTTCATGTGTCTGCTTAACTGGGCTGCACTAATGTTTCTTTTCTATATTCATTCCCATTCAGCTAGTAAGCCGCCGTTCGCAAGAGGAGCTGCTGTCTCAATTGCCTTTATTTCTTCCTGCTATCTTTGACGCATTTGGAAGTCAAAGCATGGATGTTAGAAAGGTTTGAACTTGTTGCTTTTATTTAAATAACCATACATATATTGATGTAGGATACATTTATTTTGCTAAGGACCCATTTCAATTCTGAACTTAAGATTTAAATAACCATCCATGTTACTGGTCTGGATCCAGTTTTTAATATGTTTATACAACTAGTTTCTGGTTGATGTGCAGTGTTAGTGTTCCACTTTTCACAACTATAAATTGATGGGAAGATTTTCCGATGTCGCATTTTTATGCCATGATATGAATGCAGAAGGCATTAATTTCATATTGCAATATTGATATGTTATATTAAAAAAAATAAAAAAATATTGCAATATTGATATGTTATAGTAGTATTTTGAAAATCGTGGTTGCCCTCTTACAATAATATTTATGGATTTGGTTCTTCGGGATCCACTATTTGTGAATTGTTCCCTTGTGGTCAATATAGGCTTCGTTTGGGACAGCTTTCTTATTGCTTTCTAAAATGGATTTCTAGTACAAATTTAATTTTTTTTTTACTAAGAAGCCATTTTAGAAAGCAATAAAAAAGTTATCCCAAATGAAGCTATACTTAGGACTGCTGGTATCTTTTACAATTTTCCATCTACAGTTATTTTGTGATTACCATATGGTTATTAAATTTTAATCTTTACTGACCTATGCATTTAGCTGTTCTGGTACCTTTAGAATATCCAGTCACCTACCATTTTCCTAGAAGACATTTTTTAATTTGTATTTTGTCCCTCCAGTGCAGTCAGATTTCTAAGTTTATTTCTACTGCCGTTATTATAAATTTATGCCAACCGGTCATGAGAATTGGTCACTATTTGATGTATATTTTGCACCTCAAAAGAAATCAGACTGCTAGTTTTATGCTTTTTGGACGGTATATGTTACTGTTTTCTTGATGTAATACTTAAGTTCTAATGCCGTGTTTGTGCTTTGTGTGACAAGAGGATAGGGAAAATGGCAAATTTCATCTTCATTTTAACAAGAAACTAACCTAAATTTTGCAGTTCAAACAACTAAGGTTTCGTTTGGGGCAGCTTTCGTACTGCTTTTCAAAATTGCTTTCTAGTACAAAATTTTCAAATTCAAGAAATTTTTGTATTAAAAACTGTTTTAGAAAGCAAGAAGAAAACTATCCCAAATAAAGCCTAAATCAGATTCAACTCGAACTCATCAATATAATATTGATCCATAGTTGGAATATTTTTCGTGGTCGATCAAGCCGAGTAGTGAATTTGTGAATCCTTGACATAGAAATTCTGAACCGCATTTTTTTTTTCCCTTTTTCTTGCTGATTATTTAATTCCACAATGATTTTCTGAAGAATCCTTATCTCCGCCATTCAAATTGAAATCATTCTTGATTGTTTGTTTGGATTTTCTTCATGGTGTTGTGTTCTGCTTGGTAGATATCTACATCTTGCTTGGCAAATCATTCTTACCATACTTGGAGGGACTAAGCAGTACACAACTCCGCTTATTTACTATATATGCCAACCGTATTTCTCAAGCGAGGTCCATTGCTACAGGTGAAGCTAAACATGGCTGAAAGTATCTACTCTTTCATCATCTTCTTCTTCTTCCTCTTATTTGTTTGTACCGTTATATGAGGCTGTTGATTCATTGTTGTTCATTTGTATGGTTCAATGGGCTTTTCTGGACGAGGAAGCTGTTTTCTTTTGTTCAAGGGTGTTTGTATATGATTTGTGTGGCCGCCGTAAAAGTTGCAAGTGTGAGCGAATGAAATCCTTGCATATTAGTAGCAATATGTAATGCTAGATAAACCTCTTCCAAGTTTGTTTTTGTTTTTATAGTATATTGGTAATGCAGAGTTTTATTCTCAAAATTTGGTTTGTTCAATAGTGTTGCTTCAGTACACATATTTACTATTACTTATTCTGTGCGGGCGCTGAACGCTGTCCGAAGACCAACCAAAATGTGCCACGTCACTCATGTGCTCGGTACCATGGTTTGATACTGCTGATGTGGCATAAACTAATTAGTTTCCTGATGACGTTCTGCGACCAGCCTCCGTACAGAATAATTTCTGGGATTATGAAGAAATAACTTATTTAGAGAAATCTGGTTAGTTCCTTTAACATAAGTCTGATTTTCTTATTCTAGATCATATTTAAGATCACTGGTTTATTTGATGGCTGATTTATTTTTTTTGTTTTGGATAGCTTTCTTACCGCTTTCTAAAACAGCTATTCAATGTAATTTTCTTTTGAAATAAAAATTTTTGTAATAGAAAATTGCTTAAGAAAACCATCTTAAATGAAACCTTATCCTACAATATAGTTCGGAAAAAGGTTGGTGTAATTCAAAAGGCTTGTAAGATTATGGAGAGTTGTCTTAGATGATTTGGTCACATAAAATATTGGTCTTTTGATGATAGAGTAGATGTATTAAATTAGCCTATGTTAAATAAAGGTTGAG